CAACCATTCATAACTCCAGTTCCAGGGGATCCAACACCTTCTTCTGTCCTCCACAGGCATTGCTTGCACAGGTACACTTAAATACATGTAGGCAAAACACTCATACACATAAAATAAAAACAAATAATTTTAAACAATACACACAGACACACAGACACACACTACACACACACACACACACACTACACACACACACAGACACACACTACACACACACACACACACACACACCAAAACCCCAACAACAACACAACAAGTACTGGTGTCTCTCCATTTGCTGACCAACTCTCCTCTGTCTCTGTCTCTGGAAATGACTGCCCTGTTTCTGTGGTGGTTGTTACAATACCAAATGAATATGTCTAAATTAATATTTCACCAACCTGCATTGTCAGAAAATGAGTCATAAAAAAGCGATCCAGGGAACTGAAGCTTAAAAATTTTAAACACCAAACTTTTGAAAAGTTTAGTCATTTTCATAGAAATTGTAGTAAAATTAATTTCTGCTTTCTCAGCCTCATTAAACAGATATATTGAACATGATTTAACACGTTCTTGATGGCTCTGAGTCCGTGATGTAAGTGAGCATCAGCTAGACTACCAGGCAGTGATATAACATGCCCTACAGGGCTTCTTTGTACCCCACTGCATCTTTCCTAGACGCAGTGGTGGAGACTGGCCTGCCTTCCAGGACCTTTGTGCTACCTTCTGCTCTCAACCCCAGGGCCCACATCTGTGCTGCTTTCTACTTTTACCACAATGCCCTGAATAGATTGGTCACCTGTATCCTTTGTATGAAATGACAGCTGCCATGGAAATCAAATCAACTCACTTTCTAAACTGCCTCCCTATGGATCTAGAATTCTCTATCAGCAAGTTAAAATATAATGGTTTAGAAGTAACCCCCTGCTTATGCTGTAAGTAAATCACTCAGGCTCTGACAGGGGATTTCCTTGGGACCTTGACATCTTTTGTATCGGCATTCACCAGCTGGATGCTGGGAGGGTATGTTTTTCACAGTCTGACCATGGGATGGACAAGATAGTGTTAAACATCAGCATTTTGTTGTCCTTTATTTCTTTGATGTCACCTGGCACTCTTGGCTCATGCTATTATTTCAGAAGTGGGTGGTATAGAGAATAGACACAAAAAGAAGAAATCTCATGCTTACACAGCCTTTTCTGTAACAACCCCTCCAAAGCACAGTGTCTCATTTGGCATCTGGTATTTCTCATGGTTCTATAGATCAGTAGACATTTCTCCCAGGCTGGGCAGGTTCAGCCAGGGCTCTATTCCCTCTTATGTCTGGGACTCAATTCCTTACCCCAGTTTGACTTATTTCTTTATTTTCTTAACACTATGAACAACCTCTGCCCCTATCTTCTCCCATTCTCCAGCAGACATGCTGAAGCTTGTTCCTGGTGCGGACAAGAGGTGAGCCCCACCATGAAACACTATTAAAGATTGTACTTGGGCCAGTGAGATGGCTCAGTGGGTGAAAGTGCTGGCTGCCAAGTCTCACAACTTGAATTTAATCCCCAGCTCCTTCCCACATGGTGGTAGAAGGATAGAACCGACTGCCACTAATTGTTCTCTGACTTCTACACACAGTGGCATGCACATGACCCACACACACACAACTGAAAAGAAAAAAAGATAAATGGGGGCTAGCAAGACAGATTAGAGAATAAAGGCTTTTGCCACAAAGCCTGATAACCTGAGTTCAGTCTCTGGGACCCACATAGTAGAAGATGAGAAGAGGCTCCTGCCATTGTCCTCTAACTTCCACACCCATGCTGTGGCACATACACACATAAAGTGTGTCATTTTTGTTCATGCTTTCACAGTCAAAGTCAGTCATATCATCAAAGACAAATTCAAGGGAGAAACAGATTCCATATCTTGATGGGAAGGGATACAGAGTCAGTACAAAGGTCACACATGGGTAGGAGAATCTATCAGTCAGGTTTTCTAGAGGGACAGAACTGACAATGAATATATACTACAAGGGAGATTTATTAGATTAGCTGGGTAATTCAACAATGGTGTGACACACTGTCTAAGAGGCTGAGAACCATTAGCTGCTTAGTCCACCACGCTGGAAGGCTCTTCAGTCCTAATCTTGCACGGAAGGTCTGGAGGATTCCTGGAGAGCCACTGGTCTTCTGTTCATTGGAAGGCAGAGTTTTGATGTCAGTCAAAGATGGCAGCTGCAGCAACAGCAGCAACAAAGTAGATGTGCTCGCCAGTGAGAAGTGAAGGCAGGCAGGAAAAAGCAAGACTACTTTTTCAGAAACAACCCAAAGGTGCTGCCTTCACGTTGAGAAGAGTCTCCCCCCCTCAGTTAATCCTTACAGAAAATGCCCTCACAGACCCACCCAGAAGTATGTCTCCTGTTCCTCACACCAGATTTATTTTGTAATTATTTTCTTAAGACTAAGAACAGCTTTATGGGAAAAATGAAGATGTCTATATGCTATCTTGAACAACTGAGTTATTGAAGGATATGAAAAGTCTCCATTTGATGCCCTCAAAGACTTGGTCTTCATTTATACACATCTTATTTTTTCCTTAGATCTGGAAAAAAAAGAAACAGAGATCTATGCTTCCACAAGTGATGATACTTCCCTTTACCATGTACAAAAACTGGTGATCCTTTGGACAGTTCCTTCTGGAATAAATTTTCCTCTTCTCCTCAGCCAGTTCTAATGGGTTCATTTTTTCAGGCTCTGGGACTAGGGCAGTGTGGGAAACAAGCTTGAGCCTAGGGTGATATTACAACTGTCAGGGTCACATGGTTTCCAGGAATCCAGGCTCTGTAATCTGAAACCCAGTATGCTTATGAGGCAAACCTACCCTCTGTTCTGTGATAGGACGTTAAATCTGTTATGCTGATAAGATGATGCTAATAAGGTATCCTACTTGCTGTACTGTGATAGGACACCAAACCTGTTACACTAATGAGGTATCCTACTTGCTGTGCTGTGATCGGACCACTATCCCTATATAAGCTTGTGCTTTCCTGCAATAAAGCAGACCTGTGTCACTGAGCCTGGCCTCCTCTGTCTGAATGTGGCTATGCTGACACAGTCTCCTCACCAGCCCTGGGGTCCGGGACCAGGCAAAAGTGGCAATGACAGGAGGCAGCACAGGGCAAGCAGAAGAGCTGCCTCAGCACCAGGTGAGCAGAAGAGCAGCCTCAGCCCAGGGTGAGCAGAGGAGCAGCCTTGATGCCTGTGAGAATGAAGGAGCGGCACCCACGAGAACAGAGGAGCAGCCACCACTGGCGGTGACCACAGGGCAGGAAGTAAGATGTGTGATGCCTCACTCACTGGGATCACTTTTTTTTGAGAAGGATCTCCCTGTAGCCTCAGCTGACCTGGAACTTGCTATGGCAACCGGGCTGGCCTCCATCTCACAGATATTCACCTGCCTGTGGCTCCCAAGTGCGGGGATTAGAGGTGTGCACCACTTTGTAATTCTTACAAGCTAGTTTCTGCAACAACTACCCTGGTGAACTAGATTAACTAGCTATATCCTTATCATCAATGACATCTTCCCAATCTTCGTCTTAAATCAAAGTCTTTGCTTTGAGATTAACACAACATCCCTTTTAGAAACTCACCTCTTATAGTTTCTCTCACAAGTTAATATTCTTTTGTCCATTTGCTGCTTTTACTGTCCTCCTTTCAGAGTTCTGTTCCTTTTTCATTGGTTAAATGTGAAGCTCTAGCCTCATCTACCTATTATTTCTCCATATTTTCCATAGTATCATAGCAAATTTCCTGGCAAATGATTTCACAATCTATAACTCCAGTTCCTACATTTCTTCTCAAAGATTGGTTCCATTTTTCAAATGGCCCACCCAAATACTTAACGTATACTTATGAACACTATCTTGACTGGATATGAAGAAGAAGATAATGCTCGCAACATGGAACTGTGTACTGTCTGTGAAACTTCAAGGTTATTTGGTTCTATGTTTGCTTTCAGGTGAAAGGGACTAGGGAGGTGGAGGGAGGCAGTGGAGGGCTAACATTTGCTAAGTGAGTACTTTATGTGAGGTACTTAATTGCTAGATATAAGCATCTTTTGAATTACTTTCAAAGAGTAGATACGGGGTGAATCAGATGCTCAAATAGAATCTGCAGAGATAGAATGGTCAAGAGTCATTTATACCCCAGAGAAAGTTGCAATAACATTCAGCAAGATGAGGGAGGCTGTGTTTGTCCCTTGGTCTAATAAAGAAGGAGCTGTCTGACAGCTTCAAACAATTCTAAGATTTTCCAATAAAGGTATCTTAGAGTTTACAAAAGAAAAACATCTGGGGCTGGAGAGATGGCTCAGTGGTAAAGAGCACTGACTGCTCTTGCAGAGGACCCAGGTTCAATTCCCAGCACTCACATGGTGGCTACGAACCATCCTTAATGCCAGTTCTAGGGGAATCCGAAACCCTCTTCTGACCTCCATGGCATTGCATGACATGGGTGCACTCACATACATGCAGGCAATACACTCATACACATAAAATAGAAATAATAAATAAAATATTAAAAAAAGAAAAACATACTTCCCTGAAGACTCTGAGAAATGCATTACAAAACAAAATTAAGATTCTTCTTTTTTTCTCCCTGATCAAAAAGCTTAGAGACTTCTAGACCAAAATTAATCTCCTGATAGCATTTCTTCTTTACCATGAGTAGATTTCATTCACTAAAAGTGAAAGTTCTGGTAATTGTAAGCCAGCATGCCAAATTGTGAGTAGATTTAGTCAGTGAAAAATGACCAATTGTCATATGAGGACACCCCACTCCTGGTACCAACTTGTGTATTCTTTATTTTCTGCTGTTGTGATAAAACACTGTGACCAAGGGAATTTATAAGAGGGAGAGTTTATTTAGTTTACGGTTCCAAAGGGGCAAGAGTCCATTGTAACAGGAAGGCATGGCAGCAGAGGTGGCTGGAACAGAAAGAGGAGTGGCCACATCTTCAAGCAGGCACAGGAAGCAGTGAGCAGCTATAAATTTGGAAAGGTTTAAGAACCCTCAAAGACTGCCCCCAGTGACACACTTCTTCCAGCAAGACCATACCTTCTAAGAACTCCCAGAACAGTGCCACCAACTGGGGACAAAATATTGAAATAGTTGAAGCTATGGCGGGGCATTCTCATTCAAACCACTACATTCCACTCCCTGACCCACATAGGCTCATAATCATTTAAAATGCAAAACACATTTACTGTACCTCCTAAAGTCCCATAGTCTTTACCAATCCAAACACTATTTGAAAGTTCAGAGTCCAAAGTCTCTTCTGAGACTCAGGGTAATGTTTTAACTTATAAGCCCCTGTAAAATCAAAAGACAAATTTCATACTTCCAACATACAATAGAACCAAATACACATTCCCATTCCAAAAGGGAGGAATGGGGACATACTGAGGAAATACTGGATTAAAACCAGACCAAAAGCCAGCAAGGAAACACCAAATCTAGTAGCTCCATATCCTACTTCTGGGACTTTACTTCCAAAGGCCTTAGATGGCTCAACCCCTGCAGCTTTGGTACATGCAACATACATCTCTCTCTTGGACTGTTACCACTCCCTGTAAGCAGCTTTCCTTGGCAGATGTCTCATAACTCTAGTAGCTCCAATATCTTCTTGGGGTCTCTACTGCCAATCAGGTTTCACCTTCACATCTTCACACAATGGCCCATCAGGGCCTTCTCTATGCAGGGATGCCCCTGCTGCACACTGCCTGGCCTCCATGCCGCTCTGAAACCACAGAGGAAGAACCAATGACTGCTTCATGTGAACAGCAATGCCAAGTTTGGCTGCCTGCCTGTAGTGGACTCTGGCCCAGTTCATCCACATGATCAGCAGTTTTTCTATGCTGTGGTTTTCTGGGGTGTAGAAAACCCCTCCAGCATTTTCGTTTCAGGAGCTGGAGGCTTAGCTGGATGTGGTCTTGCCCTGAAGGTACTCTTTCCATTGTTTAAGTGCAAATCTCTAGGCCTCTCCTCAGTCACTCTAATCTCTTTATCAAAGGGAGGTTCCAGAGGAATGAGAATCCATCATGGTGGTAAGAGGTGACCAGAGCAGAAAGTGGAGTGCTCACATCTTCAACCAGGCACAGGAAGCAACTGAAAATCCACCAAGGCTTAAAAACTCTCAAAGCCTGCCCCAACTGGCACACTTCCTCCAGCAAGGCCACATCTCCTAAAACCTCCCCAAACAGTGCCACTAACTGGGGACAAAATGTCCAAATACTTGGAACCTATGGGGGTCATTCTCATTCAAAGCACCACATTCTACTCTCTGGCCCCCATAGACTCATGAACATATAAAATGCAAAATGTATTTAATTCACCTTCAAAAGTCTCTATAATCTTTTTTATTTATTTATTTTTTTTATGTGTATGAGTGTTATGCCTGCATGTATGTAAGTACACCCATGCCATGCAGTGCCTGCAGAAGACAGAAGAGGATATCTAATCTCCTGGAACTGGAGTTACAGACAGTTGTTAACTGCCATATGGGTCCTGGGATACAAACCTAGATTTTCTGCAAGAACAGCCAGTACTCTTAACTGCTGAGCCATCTCTCCAGCCCCAATCTCCATAATCTTTATCAGTCTCAATACTATTTAAAAGTTCACAGTCCAAAGTCTCAAATGCATGTTATTGATTAGCTACTTGCAGAATTGTACATTCATAGCCAAACTTACTAGTCCAGCTTCACTGTTCTGAGGGGCTCTGGAAACCACCTCAGTGGGCTTGACTTGGGTTATGTTCTGAACATGTTCTGAGAGGACTCTGATGACTTGTTCTGCTTTTTTTCAGTACTGGGGATTTGAATTTAGGGCCTTGTGTATGCTAGGCAAAATTTCTACCACAAAGCCACATCCCTAGCTTTCATGGCCTGGTTCTAACACTGTTTTCTGGGATAATTTTTTAAGTGTAGCTAGATCTTTCCTTAAAAACAGAAAATAAAATTCATTTGCTCTGTTTTATTTTCACATTGATAATGTACACAGACAGTTCCAAATTCCAGAATGGACTATGAAGTGATCAAAAGCAAGCTGGTAAGAATGAGTGAAACCCTGCTCTCTAGAGAGCAGTCCACCAGCTTGCCATATGGCCCGGATGACATTAGCCTATCTCTTTTTTATTTTTAATTGGATTGGATAGAAATTAGTGACTGTTACTGATTCCTCTTTGCTCCTTTTCAGTTTGTCCATATTGTAAATATTCTTGTGGAGTAGTTGGGCTTCTTCTCACTGACCATGTACAGGGGCTTATTCTAGGAAACTGCTGTTTAGGTACCGTGTGCCTAATGTGAGTTATCCTGCATTGCTCCTGCTTCTAACCACAGTGGCTTTCTTATTGTCGATAGCTGTAAGTACCACTGTTAGTGAATTTGGCTAGCAGTGTTTGAAGCAGATGAGATTTTAGCTCACGCCTTGATAACTGCATTGGCTCAGTCTAAGTGAAAGCCTTATTTTCATTAAAGGGAGCAGACATGCTGAGGAAGAAGGTGCTATTTTTACATAGGGACTTTTTTCTACTGAAACCACATGATAACACTGCTGTTAAAATGATCTCCAGCATGCTGAGTTAGCTGAAGAAACAATATGCATGTTGCCAAAATCAAGTCAGTGCTATTCTAAGCCGCCTCTCCAAGGTCCTCTAGCTCTCCTTGGTGGTCATGAAGAGGGGACCAGGGAGGAGCTGCTAAGAAAGAATACATTGTAAGTAGTGTGGCGGTCACCTA